CATCCCTACGCGGCGCGCGAGGGAGCTGAAGAAGAAGCACTGAGTGCTCCCTCGCGCGCCCGCCTGCCCGACCGGCCACCCGCCCAGGAGCCCAGCAGCACCACTGGACCCCAGGGAATCCCCCCAGCACTCCAAAAGGTAAGGAGGCTGGGGGGATTACATTAAAAAAAAATTTAAAAAAATCATGTGTGAGTGTTAGTGTGTGTGAGTGTTAGTGTGTGTGTTAGCGTGTGTGAGTGTTAGAGTGAGAGTGAGTGTGTGTGAGTGTTAGTGTGTGTGAGTGTTAGAGTGTGTGAGTGTTAGTGTGTGTGAGTGTTAGTGTGTGTGTTAGTGTGTGTGTTAGTGTGTGTGAGTGCTAGAGTGAGAGTGAGTGTTAGTGTGTGTGTGTTAGTGTGTCTGCTAGTGAGTGTTAATGTGAGTGTTAGTGTGTGTCTGCTAGTGAGTGTGAGTGTTAGTGTGAGTGTTAGTGTGTGTGTCTGCTAGTGAGTGTCAGTGAGTGTGTTACTGTGTGTGTCTTACTGAGTGTGTGTGTGTTAGTGAGTCTGTTTGATGTCTGTTAGTGAGTGTGTGTTTGCCAATGAGAGTGTATGTTTTGTAAGTGAGTGTGTATGTCTGTCGCTGACTGTGTCTCTGTCAGTAAATGTGTGTGTCTGTTAGCTAGTGTGTATGCGTCTGTAAGTGTGTGTGTGTGTGCCTTCAGCATTTACCTTTCTCCAGCGCTGGACTCCCTTGGCGCTGAGGATACCTCAGCCTCTCAGCTCCGAATGCGACCGCGCACGCATTCAAACCGCCCATAGGAAAGCATTACTCAATGCTTTCCTATGGACGTTCAGTGTGCTCCTCTAGCGGCTGTCAGTGAGACAGCCACTAGAGGCTGGATTAACCCTCAGTGAAACATAGCAGTTTCTCTGAAACTGCCATGTTTTCAGCTGCAGGGTTAAAACTAGAGGGACCTGACACCCAGACAACTTCATTGAGCTGATGTGATCTGGGTGTCTGTAGTGGTCCTTTAAAGGACCACTATAGTGCCAGGAAAACATACTCGTTTCCTGGCACTATAGTGCCCTGAGGGTGCCCCCACCCTCAGGGACCCCCTCCCGCCCGGCTCTGGAAAGGGGTAAAACTTACCTTTTTCCACCGCTGGGCGGAGAGCTCTCCTCCTCCGATCCTCCTCTTCTCCTCCCCGTCGGCTGTATGCGCACGCGCGGCAAGAGCTGTGCACGCATTCAGCCTGTCACATAGGAAAGCATTCATAATGCTTTCCTATGGACGCTGGCGTGCTCTCACTGTGAAAATCACAGTGAGAAGCACGCAAGCCCCTTTAGCGGCTGTCAATGGGACAGCCACTAGAGGAAATAGGGAAAGGCTTAACCCATTCATAAACACAGCAGTTTCTCTGAAACTGCTATGTTTATGAAAAAATGGGTTAACCCTAGCTGGACCTGGCACCCAGACCACTTCATTAAGCTGAAGTGGTCTGGGTGCCTAGAGTGGTCCTTTAAGTGTGTGTGCATATATAAATGTAGATGGTTTTACATCTTTTCCTAAATTGTGTTTCAGAGCTGTTGTAAACAGTTTAAAATGGAATAAGGCAAAAATGGGATTCTTTGTTAAACTAATTTGCATATGCTCACCCAGAATCCTTTGCAGTAATAACATCACTGCAAATATGTGATTTCTGTGGGAAAATCAAGTCTTATGGCTTGACTGGTGTGCAGATTTTTGTTTAACATTGTATTAACTATATATATATATATATATATATATATATATATATATATATATATATATATATATATATATATATATATATATATATATATATATATATATAAATAGGAGCCAGCAATCTACTAGTAAAAAAGCATATACTAACTTTATGAATACATGTTTTTATTCATAACATTAGAGTGTTTTCTTAAATGGGTGCCCAGTCAGAACATTTCAGTCACTTAAAATAACATGTACTGTAGCTGTGCAAAACTACTTTACTGCCATAATAAATTACATCATAATTCTCTCCCCTGTCTCCTCTTAATGTACCCATCATTTGCATTTCGTTTCATGATTGTGATAGCAGTGTTAGTATTGCATATGCAATGCGCTGTGGTTGAATATATGTGCCTGAAGCAGTTTTATTTATAGTACTGCAACTAATATCCTTATCAGGATCACTGCAGGCTCAGAACAAAAACTGAGTTTTTGTTTTTTTTTTAAATCTGCCTGTTTAGTAAGTTTACTACATACATGCTTTTACTTAACTACCAAATTATATTCCCTCTTGTTAAAGAGCTAGTGAAAATTGTGGAACCTATATGCTAACTTTACCTGAATTATTTACTTAAGTGAGAATTATTTATTTATTTATTTTATTTGGTTTTGATAAGAAAAAAATAATTACATTCATATATTTCCCATGTAAATCATGTAACAAAAAACCTGACAAAGTAACAAGATATACAATTCAAAGTACAAAGGTAGAATTAATGAAAGTACAAAACATGGACACGGTTCTTCAGCATTACAGAAATGGACATGTTACAGTGGAGATTGAAACAGAATGATGGATGACCATAGGGGACAATCAAAATAGGCATCATCAGTATTTATATTCGTATCATTCCACTTTACAAATGGTGTTATACAATAACTCACATGAGATTCAGCTTATAAAATACAATAAAAAGCACAAACAGATAAATCTATCATAAGGCAAGAGCTTTCAGATATCACTATGTTGTGTGTCTAATCAGAGGCATAATAACACCACCTTTTTTATTGTGCTTGCCAAAACCATTTTATTTATTTTCCCCCTCCAAATAAAAGAGTCATAACTACTTTGGATCATAGTAAGCCAACTGTCGGGGATTTTAAGAGGGATCATCTGAAAGAGGTATAGCCACTTAGACAAGATGTATGCAGGTAAAGTATTCATTCTGCCTAACCACAAAATATTCTCTTGTTTCCACTCCCTCATTTTGGCATCAGTTTGTCTGAATAAATGAAGAAAATGTATCTCCATAGTCTTGTCTACATCTTTCACAATTTTTATCCCCAAATAATCTAAACTCTTTTTTTTTGCCCATTTTGCCCAATTGAGATTGAATTCCTTCAATATCTAGTTTATTGACATTTAGTGATATCATAGTAGATTTAGACATATTTAATTTAAAATCTGAGACAAAACTAAAGTGCTCAATTTCTATCATTAGGGTTTGTAGAGAATTTACGGGGTTTGTCATAGTCACAAGAATGTCATCAGCGTATAGATTGATCTTGGCTTTTGTATGGTTGGCAGATAGTCCCTTAATCTCAGGGCAGGTGATGGATTATAAAATGTGTAAGTAACAATGCAATTCTTTACCTCTGCCTGTACTGTACTATGAGTTGGAGATAATCCACAGGACAATACCCATTGCACAATGTGCATGATGCAGTAGGTTGAAATGTGAAGAGTGTGTCCTATTTTTTCATTTTGCAAAAATTGCAGATTTCAATTAAATAAAATAGACACTTGTATAAATCAGCCTGATTAAACCCCTGAGTGTCAATCAAATAACTGCTCCTGTTACTTCCTGGTTTGTCTAGCTCAGTGAAGCTAAACTCAAGAGGCAGCAATTGCTCAGAGCACCTGCCTTGCAAAGACTTCTCATTGAACTGCATTGGAAAGTCAGTGATTGGACAGCCACAGAAAGTCTGGATGGAGTTAGAAGGGGAGGGCTTGAAAAGGCTGGAGACAAGAGAAATGCAGTTATTGTAAGCTGTTTGTAGATAAATGGAAAAATGCATAATTAAATATATGCAAAGTTTCATTTGGGCTGTATCTATTATAAACAGTGATGTTTATTTATTTTGTACTTGGGCAATGTAGTGCCCCTTTCAAGTTCAAAGTTTTATTGGTACCATCAATAGAAAACATTACAATACACAAGTGTATATTGAGTATAGTGCCCCTTTAATAGTAATAGGTGTTCCCAAGAAACCCAGATTATCACGTTGTGTACGAGATTGCTCCACTGTCACCTCCACCCTCCACGTATGTTTTGTTACGAATCAGTATATACACACATTAATTTCTACAGATAGTAAACAGATTGTATTACTTAGGAGCAGGTGTGTTCCTGGGTGTAGTGTTAGTGTTTGTATAATATTTTAGCATTTTAATACGGGGATGTGCTTGCATGTAATGTTTGCATTTGTGTGCAGAGGTGTGTTTGGATGTAGTGTTGGATTTTAATTGTAGATGTAATTTTTTGCATTTTGAGTGATATATTATTTTGGAGTTACAGTTAAGGGGTGTTTTTTATGTCATGTTTGTATTTGCAGGAGTGTGTGTTGTGTGGGTATTTGATTGCTGGGATGCCACATACATACTTACACATTAACAAACAGAAACACACCGACACATACACAGTCATATACACAAAAACATACACACAGAGACACACACACCGTGACACACAGATACACACACTGGCACATACAAACACAGATACACACACCTTGACATATAGACACAAACTGGCACATACAAACACAGATACACACTGGCACATACACACAGACATACACAACTTGATACACAGATACACACAATGACACATACACACACAGATTCACAGATACACAGATGGTACACAGATACACATGCTGACACACAGATACACACACCTTGACACACAGTGTGTATCTGTGCGTGTATGTGTTTATGTATCTGTGTACTCAGGATTTGTGTATCTGTGTGCTTGTGTGCATCTGTGTGTATGTGCCAAGATGTATCTATGTGTCAAGGTGTATATCTGTGTGCCTGCGTGTATTTGTGTGTCAAGTTGTTTATATCTGTGTGTATGTGCCAGTGTGTATCTGTGTGTCAAGGTATGTGTATCTGTGTGTATCTGCCAGTGTGTATATTTGTGTATCAAGTTGTGTATCTGACAGTGTGTATCTGTCTCTGTATGTGCTGGTGTGTGTTTGTGTGTCAAGGTATGTGTATCCGTGTATGTGCCAGTGTGTGTATCTGTGTGTGTGTATGTATCTGACACACAGATACACACACACACACACACACACACTGGCACATAGTGGCACACAGATATACATACTGACAGATACAAACACATTGGCACACACTGACAGATGCACTGACACACCCATCCACACAAGCACATACACACACTGACACACACAAACACAGATACACACATATATACACACATAGTGACACATACACACAGTTTGACACACAGATACACAAACTGGCGCATACACACAAATTCACACATATTGGCAGATACACACACTGACACAGATACACACACACACATAGACATATACACATATTTTAAATTTGCTGTTCACTTACCTTTTTTCTTCCTCCAGTGCTGCAGGATGGTGAACCTCGGCCGGCCCCCGGGTAAGGTAAGTACCGTTACACTATTGTCCTTTGGGTGTCACTTTTTGATGGTAATGGAGTCCATGCAGTCATCACAATTTATATACTTTCCCACATATATGAGAAAAGAAGACTAAACTGATCTCAACATCAGTTATAATTGTAAATATAAGTAATTTCAGAAGAATTGGTCCAAGCATTTTATTAAAAAAAAAATTGCACTTGCAAATAAAAACAAACATAATAAAACACACTTCACATTTTGAAAAATTGAAGACTTGTTTACATCAGTCACATTTATGTTGACTGATAAGCTTCCAAACCTGAAATCAATATGTTTTGTAAGATATCTTCTGTAAATGCTATACTATTACAAAATAACAATTACAAAAGACAAGTATTCATATCTTGCGTTATACCACAGCACTTAGTTAATAGATCAAGCCAGCTTCCTTCTGGTAGTTATCATTTTTTTATTCAAAGGTAAAAACATGTTTACTAAAATGAAAAAGGATGTAGCACATATAATTAATAATATAGTTAATTAACAGCTGGCATCTTTTTTCACTTTTATGAATACACATCTTAGCACACAACATAAGAACCTGTGCTTTAAAAACAAGATACACAAAAACCTTTGATAGAAGTACTCATATATGATGAAATTCATTGGGTATAATTTCTCAGTCATGATAAAGACACAAAAAGCTTAAATTCTTCTGATGGACAGATATGGAAATATGAAAAACATTTCATCTGTAATTACAATGCATAAAATATTGAGTGTACTGCTTTCAGAGTTGAAAATGCTACGAAGAGCAATCTGCATCTCCTCTACATTTTCCATAATTTTCAAAACTACAGAAGTATAATGACATATTTGTTCTTTTTGTTATTCTGTAATCCTTTGGTTCTTTTGAAACCAGTCATCCACAGCTTGTGTTTATATAAGCCATTCAATATTAGGACACTATGTCCAACAAATACACTTTGTATTAAAATATATAATATATTTGTGTACATGAATACATGTCATTTTCTCCAATTATTATATGAGAAACAGCATCAAATAGTAAAAAGTCCCCTAATGTATACTTAACCTTTACTGCTCATTATCAAACTCAGTTTTACTTACTATTCAGCTTTTAACACAAAAATTTATTGCAAACTTACAAAAAAATCCAGTTTTTCTTGTGGTACTTTTCAGTATTTTGTTGATTGGTGGGGGTATGGGCCTGCCGAGTGTTCTTGGGTTCCAGCCCCTGGCATTCATGCTGGCCTCAAGATTTGTTCTTTCTACGCCAAATTTTCTCTCAAACCTGGTCCTGCCCGCCCAGTGGGCAGTCTTCAGGTGGGGGGTAAAGTAACATATTCATCCTCACCTTGTGGTATCTTTGCTCAGTGGCCATGTGTCATGTACCTGACTCCTGCAACATGTTGGTGGCCGCCAGCCGCTGCGGATCCACGCCAAATTATAGCCCCACTTTCGCCCATGGTGGTGACGATGTCGGCTGACATGTTCTGTGGTCAAAAGCCAATTTTGGCCAATCAGATGTGTAAAAGGCATTTTTAAACGCATTTTTACTTCTCCTCTTTGCCCTGTCGTGGATTCCCTTAGTGGTTGTCCGAGAGTGTGTTCCTGAGCGTTTATTTCTGGTTATTGACTTTGGCTTCATTTTGACTTCCCTTGACTTTTGGCTTTCCCTCATCACTGTGTCTCATTCTGTGTCCCTGACCTTGGCAAGTATTCTGACTTTTCTCTGGTACGTGAAGTTCGGCCATTCTGAGGCCCGGTAAGACGTTACCTTTTAGTCCTAGGTGTGATACAGTTCTACGTGCTAGATCAACTAATAATCCTGACATATAGTTAATACACTTGCCCTCCAGCAATGTTCACACATATAAGAAAAAGGAGATGGAATATAGTGCTCTCTGCGTAATATTATATATGGATAGAATATAAATTATACTCACAATTTTGTGAGCAATGGATTTGCTCAGTGTTTGCAGCGTGGGTGGAAAAATCCCCACCAAGGATTTGAAAGTAATAGTCCAGGAAGTTGTGCTTCAGGTAATGCCAGGAACAATGATAGAGCAAAATAAATAAAGGCTAGCAGATTCAAAAATAGAGGAGCCTGAGTGCTTTATTGATAATAACAATATAAATAATTCAACTACGTATTTCCCCAATAAGGTCTTTTCAAGTAGCTACTCGAAAAAGTCTTATTGGTGAAACACATTGTTAGATTATTTTATTATATAATTTATATTGTTATTATCAATAAAGCATTGAGGTTCCTCTATCCCTCCGTCTCGATAGGGTTTAAATGCCAGGTCTTAAAACCTTTGTTGCTCAAAAGGAGATGCTCTGTTCTTTCTCATTATTGCTTTTTTGGTCTGCAAAAAATTAAGTCTCATTATGACATCCATTGGGGATTGCAGCTACCAACTGGCTCTTCAAGGGTGATTTTTTTTTTTATGGGCCTGGTAGGATGACATCTGGTCCCCTAAGTTTATGTTAAAGTTTATGAATCCAACACTACTCAGCTAGTTTTAACTGTTCGAAGGGCTTCTGCTTTGAAGCGCTTAGCTCAAGCAGCCATTACGTTCAGCCACACACCCCCATGTCTCCTGTATTGTTAAATTCCCCTTTTATGATATTGTAAAGCTCTGCGGAATAAGTTGGTGCTATATAAATGCCAATAATAATAATTATTATTATTATTTCCCTATGGTAAATACATCTGCAGTTCTACAATTTCCTCATCCCTTCTTTCTCCAAAGTACTCACTTATAATGAAGTGAAAGTGAAAACATTGCTACAGCTGGTGGGCATTTGTAGAACTTGTGAAAATTTCCCAGACAAAGGGGGGAACATTGTACTTATGAACCAAGAACAATATATAGATATGTGCATGATTCACTTATTTGATGCATCTTCATCCCAAATCTTGGAGAAAGATCCAAATGTCCTTGACGGATAAAATAATCATTTAGAACGAATACAAGTACATTGTGCCTCCAAGGAATCCAACAGTGGCTACCTTCTACTGTCTCCCTAAGGTGCACAAATATGTTAATAGACCTGCAGGGAGACCGATTGTATCTGGGAACCATAGTCGAACAGACGTAGCCAGTAAGTTCCTTGACAAATTATTACAACCTCTAGTGTGAAAACTGGACTCTTACATTCAAGATACTAAGCAAACACTGTTGGCCTTGGAAAATGTATCTGTTCCCCCATATACGTCATTGGTCAGTCTAGATGTAGTGGCCCTATATAACAATATTCATCATGAAAAAAGCTGTGCCTACTTTTTGGCGAAAAACTGATTTGTTCAGTGCAACAGAACAACATTTTGTTCTATCTCTCCTTAAGTTTGTGTTAACACACAACTACTTTACGGTAAATGGGAAATACTACCTCCAACTCAAGGGAACTTCCATGGGGTTGTCTTGTGCATCTAGTTATGCTAATCTCTTCCTGGGCTGGTGGGAGGAGACTATGGTGTATATTACGAAGAATTGCACATATACCAACCACATTTACAAATGGTATAGATATATAGATGATGTTTAGATTTTTTTGGACTGGCCCTATGGCACTATTTGAAGAATTGGTGGAGGCAGATAATATAACTAATATATCTTTAAAACTTACCCATGGCATAGATGCAAACAAATTGGTCTTCTTAGACCTGAAAATCAATATCTTAGAATATGGTAAAATTGCTACGACAGTTTTCAGGAAACCAACTGCCACAAACAGTTTGTTGCACTGGCACACTTTCCATCCCTACCATCTCAAGGCAAATATTCCATATGGTCAATACCTGCGAGCAAAAAGAAACTGCTCAAATCCCTTGGATTTTGAAAAAGAAGCAAAATAACTTAAAAATAGATTCAAAAGTCTGGGCTACCCCAATAGGGTAATGAAAAAAGCCTACCAGCAAGCAGAGGCGGTAGACAGGTCTGAGAGTCTACGTAGACCCCCTAGGAGTATTCATACATTGACAGGGACTACAAGATTTGTAATCACCTATGATAGACACTGGGGCAAAGCCCAGGAAATTTTCTGATTGAATTGGCCAATACTTCAACATGACCCCCTTCTGAAAGACACAATTTTGACATATCCTTCAATGTCTTTTTGAGGGCCCAAAATCTTATATAATAAACCCACATTCACTTGCAACCAGAACAACTCACCACTTCGTGGCTCCAACCAACGAAAGGAATTTATAAATGTGGGCATTGCAAGGCGTGTGATTTCATACTCCCCACAAAATTGGTAGTCAGCCAACACACTTCAATGCCTTCATTTATGGCAGCTCCACTAATGTAACTTACCTCATCACATGTATTTGTAGTTTACAATACATTGGTAAGACTTACCAACAAGTGCGTTGTAGGATTCTGCAGCATGTCAACTCTGTGACCAATTTTAATATGGACACCACTGTGGCTAGACATTTACAACTCAAACATGCAGCAGATTCAGGAGTACTTAAGTTTCAAGCAATTCAAAAATTGTCTTTGAACCACCATATTAATGTAGCTTTCTTAAGGGCTTAGTCACGTTGGATTTATTATGT